GTTTTGTGCATAAAAATAAATGATGTACCTATTCACAAATGTAATAGGTTAATACACACACATATAACAAACATCATAATTTGTCATTTACTCGCATAACAATATCACAACTTGACAATTTTGGATGCATTATTGACAAAGCTGTTCTTTGCAACATGCTGGAATTAATTTCCTCTCACACACACACACACACACACACAGTATATAAAACTTAATATAGGCTACTACAACTCATTTTTTAATTAAAGTAAAAAAAAAAAAAGGTCAGTAATTACTTTTGATGTACACATACTCACACAGATTATTTAAATAAAACTAAATAGACTTATGCAACAAAAATCTATAAGAAAGAACAATATTGTTCAAGTACAAATAGAATAAAAATCTACCAACAATATCATTAATAATAATAAAGTTTAATCAGATGTTACTCATTTTTTATTTTATCTTGCTTGTAAATATCTAGTATATACTAAATTAATATAAGTAATATATTTTATTATAAGTAAGTTAATAAAATATAATTTTCCATCTACGATATATCAGCTCTGAAATGTGTTTGGTATGATGAATAAAATGCATAGTTTAATTATATTGTCTATGCGAATAGACTGATGCATGTGATAAAAACACAATGTCCCAGTGCTCATCATTCCTGCACACTCATTTGACCCATTAGCCGCGCATTAATGTTCACACATATCAGAGCTCAAGAATATGAGATACTGTCACAGATTATTACAGAAAATGTCAGTGGTCTGCAGCTGCATTACAGGAAGTTACAGATAATTGTGACATTTCACTCAGCACACTTTCATCTGTCACGTCACAGGTTTGACAGCTAGTCTTATCATATCCTCCTGAGAACCAGGAAAAAAAAAAAAAAGTTTTGTGATTTTTTTTACATTTTTTTAATGTCACTACATTGGTTGTAGAGGACGCCAGGACTAAGTTATGAAAAAAAGTATAAAGGCATGTATAGGCAAAAACAATGTTTTTTTGTTTTTTTTTTCTCCATTCACCAATCAGTTTTTAGGTTTCAGGCTATTTTTAAGCTAAACTTTGTACAAAGATGATTCTCAACTATGTTATGAAAATTCTAACAGAATGATTTGATATACCGTACTACTGTACTTTATGTGCGTAAAATGTCCATAAATTGGTATTCCCATTCTATACTATCTCATTTGCATATTAATGTGTTCTTGGGGCAAACCATAATGAAAAATAAGTGTAATAATGGGAGTAATAACTTTGCAACAGTTTCATAAGAATATCTCATATTTCATAGGAATGTTGATCTATAATTTCTTTCCTTATTGACTAGTGTTGTCAAAAGACCCAGTACTTCGGTACCAAGTCGGTACTAAAAAAATGAAAACGTTACGGTACCAGGTTTTTCCGCCACAATATCAAAACTGACCGCCACAAATAGATTTTCAAAAAAAAAGGCTTCGACTTCGTTGAATAAACATGAGCACTGCACGTGTTCGGTCTTTCATAATTTAGCCCCGGGGCCGATTAAATACCGGGTTTCGGTACCCATCCCTAGTAATGCCTGAGCAGTTTGTTAGCTGAACGCTTATTTGATTACAGCCGTTACTGGGGAAACCTCTATCTAATTGTGAATCTAAAATATGCGTGTTAGAGAATGTACAAATGGTTAACATTGTTTGTGTCATATCAGTCAAAAAAGCAGTTTTTTTGTTGTTGTTTTTAGCTAACTTAGTTAGTTGTTATTCTTGGCTGAATAACTCTAGGTTTTCAAAAGCCCTTTGAAATTTAATATGTACACAGTTTGAATTAAATGAAAGTATAGTCAAATTTTTTAATTAGCATGTTTTTGTGTTTTGCTTTGGTACCGAAATTGGTACCGAGAACCGTGGATTTTCACTGGTATTGGTACCGAATACTGAAATTTTGGTACCGTGACAACACTACTATTGACTTTCCCTATTGTGTCTCCCCAAAATGCCTGATTAACATGCCGTTTGTCCTGGTGTCCTTTACAGAAGACACGCATGATTCACGGATTAACTGTTAAGTTTAACCATCATAGAGTGAAAGTTTATCATTTGCACATGTATTGTCTTGCCAATTTACACATTCAAGCAATTTTAACTCACGCACTGTTTTCTGTGCGCGCGGCAGCAAGAGACACCGCATGAACAGCGAATTGATTCCTCTTTCACATGCACACAAAGTTATGTTAAAATACCCGTTTTGGCAAGTATTCTAGTAAACACAGTCAGTTATGTCTTAAATGAACGTAAACAGCTGCGAAAGAAACTGGATGTGTGTCAGTATTAGGTCCGTGCGTTTGGTCTTAAAGAGACAGCAGCCAATAAATACCTGTTTCTGTCTGCTAAACAAATAACACCACAGGCTTTAACAAAGATTAATCTGTATTTAACTTGTGCGGTGAACACTATTTTGTTATTTTACACTTAATTATTACATTTCTGCACCTGAATACTACTGTTACTGACTTTATTTGTAACTGTGTTATGTTGTATTCATCTAATTTGTATAATTGTTCTTGTTTTATTACTGACTTCATTAGTTAAGATTTACAGTTTTTGCTGTGGTATAGTACTTAAAATAAGCTTTCAGAATTTTTCAGAAAAATGATCCAATCCGAAATGCTTAATAAATGCATTACACTAACTAAACCCATTAGATTTTAGTCGACTAAATCTACTGTAATCAAAACAATTCAGATGACTAAAATATGACAATCTAAATGGCATTTTCATCAAAAGACTATGACTAAAACTAAATCAAAATTTGCTGTCAAAATTAACACCGGTTTGAACAACCATGGATATCACTATTAAGAGTTGTAAATGTTTCACTAACATGGTCAATTGTGCAGAAGCGCTGATGAAAACAGCACAAACCGGTGTGGCTATGCTTACATCATCTATGATTACATCTGTTCAATCCATGAAGGTCACACCAATCAACACGCGCACACACACACACACACACACACACACACACACACACACACACCCCCCTCACCACCAATCCATTCAACCAACAACAAAAAACCTTATTCATCTTTTCATATTATTAACAACTATACCAACCAGAATACAGGTCAACACAATTTAAACCACACACCTACATGGAAACACATTGTGTGAGCTTCTCGTTTCAGAAGATGGGTTACAAATTTAATTTGCTAATCATAATTTGCTTTTCCCTGCTTTATTTTTAGGCACACACAACGTGCTTTAACAGATTTCAAAACACGATTTTATCTTGCTGATGGTTATCACGTCCAACAAGTTCTATAGCATATCTTGACACAAAAAAAATGTAGTAAACCATTTGTGCTTCGAGACACAACACATGTCCAAAACGATTAAAATAACATGCTATATATTTGACTTAGCATAAACGGTTTGGGTTGTTCAGCGATTAATGAATATTTGGCCAATGTCATGAAGAAAACCTGCATATTATTTCTTAAGGGTGCATGCAGCTACTGTAACAGCATTTCAACTTCAATAAACGTGTAAAAACGTTCCACAATTGATAATTTCTATGGAAAAGAGAGGCTGTTAGTATGGCGACGGCACTACACAGAACTGATTAGATTATGTTACAACATATGCAGAACAAAACATCTGCTACAGTGAAAGGAAACCGGCGTACAATTGATGCTTCAATAGAAGGAATGCGACGTACCCGCAGAGATGCACAGGTGTGTGCGCTAGCACATAAATAATGCAGCGCCATGTTACGGATACGGCACACACCTTGCTCAGATAACCGAGCAGTGACCCGGTGTACACTTCTGCTTTGTTTCTGAGCAAGTGTGGAAAAGGCGATTCTACGAAATTAAGTTGACACCGTTTTGACGTTCCTAGAAATGAGGCACTAGCATCCCTGTGGAGATTCTGGTGTTGGTGCAAACAGACACACCTTCAGGTAGGCCATGGTGAGCAGAGGCAGCAGGGTGAAGGGCACCAGGTACAGGAGGGCAGGCTGGGCCGCGCGGTGAATACGAGAGGCCACGGTTGCAGTCAACAGACCTGAGACAGGAAGAGAGAGAATCATCAAACGGCTTAAGAGCAGAGTGTACATACATGTACAGCACCACAGTCAATAATATTAAACAGTGGAACAAGTGCAGTCAGATTACAGAATGAATGAGTCTTTTTAGTGAATCAAACACATTCGGTTTACAATTTACTGTATACAATTGTTTTTAAGGCTAATGTAGTTACTGACTGGTTGTTCACATAAGAGTGAATTTTGTCAGTAGTACTTTATTTAAAGAAAAGTCACTTTTTTAGCATTAATATATATGGGATTGCCATGCCTAATGTTGTGTAACTCACAAATGAATCACTCTTATGAACTATATAATTTTCTCATGAGCCTCACGTTTTGAAATGGTTTGAATCAACATGATAAATCTGGAATACTCAAACTCATGTTTTTTTAAAATTTTGTTTGTAGACAGATTGACAAAACTGTAAATAGATGGACAGACAGACCTACAGATAGACAGAACAATATGATAGATAGATGGACAGATGGAACAACAGACAGCACAAGAGATGGATAGAAAAAGAAGAGGTGGACAGACACAATGATTTATAGAGCGATAGATGGAACAACAGACAGACAGAATTATAGTTAGATGAAATGACAGATATGAAATGACAGATAGAACAAAAGATGGATAGGAAGAAAGGACAGATGGAATGACAGACAGAATGATAGATAGACTAAATCCCAAAGTATACTTCAGTTTTTGTACGTGCAAGCTAGCATAGGGGTGTGATATATATATTGTTTACAGTAGTATTGTAATTGTCGTTTAAACGATATGCAATTTGACATGATCTAATATATCGCAAAAACCAAACAAAAACACACCCAGAGAGTGCATGCATACACTACATTATGTAGGTTAGACTACTGCGCGTGCACATTTAGAGTTCACGCTTTCACTGTGTGATTTAGTCTATTAAAATACATTTAGAATTCCCTCAAAATTCAAGATAAGGGAGCAAAAATGCCCCCGTATGAATTTTATATTTATTTTATGTTTATAACACACTAAGAGTACAGTTTTTCTCCAAATATCAGCATGATTGCAAATGTGATACTGATTTTATAAAACAGCCTAATAAAGTTAGTTAATATTAATTGACTTACATTTTAGACAACAGTTCCTGTTCTTTTTTCTCTATTTTGTCAACAAAAAAAAATTCAAACAAAGCCACAGAAGAAATGTTTTGCGTCTCTAAGCAGCACACTGCATTAAACAGTCTGTGCAAATGCATCTAAGGGTGTGTTCACACTTGTAGTTCGGTTCGTTTGGTTCATTTGGTCTGGACCAAAAAGGAAAATGATACATTTGGTCCTGGTCCGCTTAGCGTTCACATTGACATTTTTGACAGCGAACCTAAATACACCAAACCTAAAGGCATAGTGATACGTTCACAACCTGATTGGTCAGCTTGAATGACGTATATATCATGATGGAACTCACCGAATACCCCAAACAAAAGGTGCGTTAGACCGTAAGCGGCGCTGCGGGTGTATGATATCAAAGCACCCATTAAACGATCGGTCTGCTCAGCGCCCCTGTTTTTGGTTCGTTTAGAAGTATTTGGTCCGTGTTGCGTTCATATATCATTCGAACCGCACCAGAGTTCGTTTGGAAGCGGACCGAGACCCATCTTTTCAGCGGTCTCGGTCTGCTTGTTTGGTACAAGCACCCTAAATGCCACTTCAGATGCAGATTCTGTGCCACCTCTGCATTGCAAACAGAAATTTTGTTGATACTGATTTCATTTGATTGGTAACAGCCCTATAGTGTCCTACTATTTACATTTATTGATTAAATTTAAGTCACAAAAGGTGATGCATACATTTAAAGGTGCAATAGGTGATTGTCTTCAGAAACATTTTTTGTTATGCTGGTTGAA